TACCTAGCTTTGTATTTTATTTGCTGCCTATTTATCACCTGCCTGTTCTCACCAGAACGTGAACTTTGGGAAGGCAAGGACTTGTCCATGTTCTATCCCCAGTGCCTAGAAGAACACTTGGCACACAGGCAACCAATAGCTATTTGTTAAACAATCGAATGAGAGCGTAGCGCAAGTTTCCTACAAGTGTGCATGGGCCTCAGGTGGGGCTCAGGGTTTCAGAGGCTTGAATATTTTGGGGCTTTTTTGGCTTTTTGAACCTCAGAGCCACAGAGATCCTTTTTTGGAGGGATGACTCGAGATGAAGATAAGGATGATGAAGAAGAGGAAGGGGCCACGTGGGACCCTGGGAGCTTGAGGTTTGAGGACCCCCAGCCCCCTGAGGAATTTGGCTTCAGCTTCAGCTTCAGCTCTGCAGGGGGATGCGTTTCCAGGATAGCTTCAGCTTTGATGACCTGGTGCGGGATTTTAGTAACATCTTCAGCGAGCGGGGACCTGGACCTCGCCTCCCCACCCTCCTGAACTTCCAGGTACTGAGTCAGACACACCGAGTGAGAGATTGCAGGCGGGACAGACGCTTCGGGACTCAGTGCTTACGTATCCAGAGAGTCACCAACACAGGATCTTTGGGGTCTTGGAGAGTGATGCAAGAACTGACTCTCCAAAGCCAGCGGCAGGCTGGGCTCCCAGAGACCTTTTCGTAGGTTTGATGACGTGTGGCCTGTGACACCCCCCCACCCCTTCTAGAGCCAAAGAGGACAAGAATCTTGATTCCCAGGTTTCCCTGGAGGGCCTTGCCCCAGTTCTGCAGCCCCAGCCCAAATCCTATTTCAAGAGTGTTTGTGTGACCACGATCACTAGGCCAGATGGGACAGCAGAGGAACACTGGACTGTGGTGGACAGTGAGGGCTGAACAGAAAGCCCAGTAACCCATCAAGAAGCAGATGGCAGTCCCAGCGATAATCCTGAATCACCATCCCCTCCAGCCCTGGATGATGCCTGTTCATCCTGGATTTATTCCTAGGCCGTTGGTCCTGGTCCCAGTAGCCTTGTTAACCCTCAGAGGCTTTCAGGTTCTTCCCACCCCCGACCCTTTTCTCACCATCAATGGGCTTCGCTTCTCCTCTTGCAGCCTCAGGGCCTTGGGTGTGTGGAACAGTGAATTAGGGGTATGTCAGTGTGTCATTCACACAAACTGAATAGTAAAACCCTTATTTATGCTAAAAAAAAAAAAATGAATGAATTCATCAAATTGAAACACAGGCAACTCCTTTGAGACTTTTGGTCATAGGAGACGGTAAGTTAAAGGCTGTAATTTTTGCCCAGGCAGCATGGCTCAGTGGTTGAGCATTGGCCTATGAACCAGGAGATCACCATTCAATTCCCAGTCAGGGCACATGCCAGGGTAAGGCTCAATCCCCAGTGGGAGACATGCAGGCGGCAGCTGATCAAGGATTCTCTCTTATCATTGATGTTTCTATCTCCCTCCCCCTGAAATCAATAAAAAAATATGTATTTTTAAAAGGCTGTAATTTTTATTCAAACATTTATCATTTTTTTTAATATATTTTACTGATTTTTTTACAGAGAGGAAGGGAGAGAGATAGATAGTCAGAAACATCGATGAGAGAGAAACATCGATCAGCTGCCTCCTGCACATCTCCTACTGGGGATGTGCCTGCAACCCAGGTACATGCCCTTGACCGGAATCGAACCTGGGACCTTTCGGTCTGCAGGCCGACCCTCTATCCACCGAGCTAAACTGGTTTCGGCTATCATTTATTTGGAAAGTCAAACCCTATGCAGCTTGACTCACCTATAAAATTATTGAGTATTCATTCTTTCAATAAATTTCCTTTGAGTGACTATTGTATGCAAGCATTTCCATCCTAGAAGATCATTTATTGAGGATGGAGGGAAACAGTACAGAGAGAAATGAGTCTCAAAAAGGTCCCAGCAGACAGATGGCAGTCCAGTTATTCCTCTCAGGATCAAACAACAGCTAGAAGTCTGCTCATCTTTGTTGCCTGGTGACATGAATGACATGTCTGAAGGTCAAGCCATGTACCAGGGCGAAGGAGGTAACTTGGGGACTGAAAACTCTGACAGCATCTTCTCTTATGCATGGCTACCCTGCTGTCTCAGCTGGAGCAACAGCGCAGCCTGAAGCCACCGAACGGGTTAAGTCCCGTGTAATCCATGGTCTTGGGACCTAAAATTCTGCCCCAGCATGGCACATTCACATGCATGCTGAAAGCTCCCACATAGCCCCCTGGTCCGGACCACAGCCATGAGCTCCGACTCCAGGTGTCTGACTCCATCCCCAACATGTGCCCTGGGCTCTAGCGGGCAGGCCCCAGGTGCACACGCAGCTTGCTTCTCTCGCCAGCTCCTCACCTAGCTTGCCCGCAGCCCAGTTGCTGAAGCCAAGAAGCCCTGTCACTCTGCATCTTCCCTCCCTTCACACCCAATCCGGCAGCGAGTCCCTGTGCTCTTCGTTAGAAACATGCCCAGATGGCGCCCCCCTCGCCCTCATCCCAGCAGCTTCCTCCTGCACACATGTCCTCAGACTCCGCCGCAGCTTCTCAGGGGCTCTCTCTGCCCTGACCTTTGCCCCTAATTAACTCTGCTCACAGCATTTGGATTTAAACATATATTGGCACATGCTTCATCTCCTGACAGGTCCCCTGATGGCTCCCCTATAGAACCAGGAGCAAACTCAAACTTCCTGCCATGACTGACAAGGCCTACAGGCCCACCCCACGCTGTCTGGGATCATCACCCATTAATCTCTCCCTGACTGTTCAGCCTCCTGGCTGTTTTGTGAACATACTAAGCTCATTTCTTCTTCAGGGTTTTTGTTCTTGTCATTCCCCTGCCTAGAAAAACTCTCTCTGTTCACGCAAATGCTACCTCATCCAAGAGACTTCTCCAACCTTCCTATGTAACATACATGGTCACTCTGGGCGCTAGCCTGGTTCCTCTTACCTTTGAAACAACTGCCTGACATGACAAGGTATCTTGTTTGTCTCCCTGGTGGGATGTGAGCTCCATGAGGACCGGCTGTTACTGGCTGCATCTCCAGTGTCTAGGGAAATGCCTGATGTATAGTAGTATTCATGAATGAATGAATGAATGAATGGGACATGTAATCAGAAAGAGACTGTGTAACCCACATATAAATAAAAGTGTAAATGTGCCCCACTCTCAGCAACCTCACTCACCAAATCTAGAGTCGCCCAGAATGGTTAAAACCCTGGTCCCTCCCACTGGGAGCTAAGAATACCTTCTTTACTCTCCTGGGACAGATCTATGCTACGATGACACCCTAGAAATAATGCCGATTTATCTGCCAGGGAGCCACCCAGAACCAAAGACCAGGGTGCATGACACACCATCGCTTCTGCTGTAAGTGACACGTTGATCTCAGACTTCGCCTCTGCTCATGTTCTTGCTGTCAGCCACCCTGAAGTCTTGAAAAGAGTAGACAGGACGGGCCTGTGTTTCCTTTTGAGAGTTATAAACAGGCAATGTTTCTCAGTGCTACTGAACTCAAGCTGAAAAGACTCCATCCCTGACCATCAGCTTCTAACAAGGTTATTCTTCCTCATCCACAAACTATAGGTTCAAAAAGACTTCCTCCCTGCCCATGTGACTCAGCTGGCTGGGTGTTGTCCTGTGCACCAAAAGGTCACAGGTTCGATTCCAATCAGGACATGTGCGAGGGTTGCGGGCTCCATCCCCAGTGTGGGGCGTGCAGGACGAAGCCGATGGATGTTTTACTCTCACGTTGATGTCTCTCTCTCTCCCTCTACCTTTCCCTTCTTCTCCCTCTAAAACTCAATAAAAATAAAAAAATATATATATATCTTTTTAAAAAAAAACCTGCCATTGAGTTGTTGTGTTAGAAGGCACATTCATATTCATTAAGTCCAGCCTCTTCCATTTCACAGATGAGGAAACCGGGGCACAAGGAAATGACTGACTTGACGTTTCATTGGAGTCAGGGCAGAGGCGATGCATTAACCTCGCTTTATACCTTTCACCAAATGCGCACTTGACAACCTACTACTCAACTTGACTCGCGCTTGTCCTGGGGAAGCTGCCCTGTTCTAAATCACATGCCGGTTCATCATCTCGAATAAGATGTCTCCACGACACCTAGGACTGAAGGCATCTCCCTGAACAGGACCCCTCAGCTCCCCCGCACAGGGCGGGCACCCCTCACACAAACCGCTGCTGGAGCTGCCTCCCCCGCAGAGTCCGCTTTGCCTCCTGGAAACTTTGATGCCTTGGTCCCAGGTGTGCCGTCCTGGAGGCAGATGTCACAGTGGTTAACGATAGGTGCTTGCTGAGCAGATGAGCCTGTTTCACATCCTGTTCTAGTTGTGTGAGCGGAGGGACTTTTTTTACGATCGTTGCAAGATACAGAACAGTCTAGATCATGGGTTCTCAACCTGTGGGTCGCGACCCCTTTGGTGGTCGAACGACCCCTTCACAGGGGTCACCTAAGGCCATCCTGCATATCAGATATTTACATTACGATTCATAACAGTAGCAGCATTACAGTTATAAAGTAGCAACGAAAATAATTTTATGGTTGGGTCACAACATGAGGAACTGTATTTAAAGGGCCAGAAGGTTGAGACCCACTGGTCTACATGATATTGCTCATTTATGGGATTAAAAATGTGAACACAGGTACATCTCGTTTCACAGACTCTAAGATGCAACTGTGACCCTTCTTAAAAAGGAGGTGAAGAGGGGCCTTGCCCTGGCGGGGGACTCAGCTGGCTGAAGTGTCATCCCGATCCCGGTCAGGGACATGGCACATACAAGACTCAACCAATAATGCATATAGCAACAAGTCTCTCTCTCTCTCTCTCTCTCTCTCTCTCTCTCTCTCTCTCTCTCTCTCTTTCTCTCTCCCCCCAGTCCCACTCCCCCATTAAAAATTTAATAAGCAGGTAAAGCAGAGGCCTCTTACAACCTGGACGCCCTCACGCCGCTGCCGCCAGGTGGCGCTCCAGCTTTGTGTGGAGATTCCCACAGACACCCTCTTCATTCCTGATCTTTCTCTCTCTCAGCTTCTTTGCATTTGAGAAACGTTCTGAAGATCTAAAGAGGGACAGACAGACAGACAAGGAGCATAGGACCAGAGATGAGACACAAGGATGGACAGCACCCCAAGTGGGCAACTGCAGGGACACAATTCTATTCCTAGCTGCAGGGGCTGCCAGACTCTGCCCCGCCCTTTGGGGAAGCCATAGGTCAAAATATAAAAACATAAAAATAAATTCAATATTCATGCCTTTGTTCCATAGACTTCACTACAGTAATTTTATTGTAAAGAAACTTTCTACAATACTTTACAAACTCTATGAATAAAAATATTTACATAATTTTAATAGCAAAAATAATTGGCAATATCTCAACTTTACATTGGTAGGTTAATAAGCAAGTAAAATTAATCTGTAATAACATTATTAATTTCATAAAAATATGATAACCAGATTAAATTTTACAAAGCAAGACATAAAATTATATGGACAGTAGAAGTGGATCAAAGAAGCAAGAGCTTTTTATACAGAAAATTTAATTTTGAAGGAATAGTCACATAAGTTTAAACAGGGAAAATATATGGAATTAAAACGACAGACCCCCTAAATCTAGCATTCACGCATCCATTCATCATGTGTCCAGCCACGCGGGCCATGCCCCTCCTGTGTGCTTCGCACTGTACACTGAAGTGTGCTGGTGAGAACACGGGACAACGTGCCCTAAAGAAGCTTATGATGTAGTAACATGCAGATAATTTTTTTTCACTAAGGATTGTAGCAGAACAAAGGAATCAAGTTAAGAGATAACACAGTAAAAATAAATCAATTCAAAAAGCTCTGGGTAGCTGGGTGGTTCAGTGGTTTGAGCATCTTTCCTTACACCAAAAGGTTGAGGGTTTGATTCCCGGTCAGGGCACACAGCCAGTCTGTGGGTTCAATCCCTGGTTGGAGTGTGTACAGGAGGCAATCAATCATCGCTTCACTCTCACATCTATGTTTTTTTTCTCTCTCTCTTTCCCTTCCCCTCTCTTCAAAATCAATTAAAAAAAAAACACACATATATTCAAGTCTGGATTATAATTTTTAAAAAGCTAGAAAAATAGTGGCAAAATCAAACCTAAGGAAAAAGGAAAGAATTATTAAATACAAAAAAGTTGGATTCATTCAAATCCTAAAAAGTAGAATCAATTATAAGAACTTATGTGGTGAAAAGACCATAATATAGACAAATATCTCACAATGCTAGTTGACAAAAAGGGGAAAAAAACTTAAAGCATTACTGGTAAGCATGGAGGACTTCTGAGTCCCAGGCCTGACTTTTGTTCTCACTCTCACAGCACAAAGAGTTGAACAAACTGAAAATCAGCAACTCTTCTTGGACCCATCAGAGAACTGAAATCACGGGCAGCCTCTGCCCAGACAGGTGGGTGCAGGAATCAGGCCCACCAAAAAGCCCAGGGCAGACACTACCTGGGAGCCATGCTGGGAGGCCCAACTGTGATGACAAACTGCTGGTCAGCCCTCCCTCGGGCCCTCCCTCGGGCCAGTCATAGGGTCTCACACTTCCTGGGTTTTGCCTCCATCCAGGACTTGCCCCAGGTTCGCCATGAAGATGGCTGGGAAATGCCCTTACAGCAGAGAGGGGAGAGGAGCCATCCTGAAATATGCCTAAAGCCGTTCTTCTTAACAAAGGACTGACTGCCGCAGGCACAAACAGTGTTTGTTTATTATAGAACTATGTACACCTCGTTGATAAATTTTAAAATCTCAGAGAAATGGTTGATCTTAAAAGACATGGATTGACCAAAACTAATGAAATCAGAGGGAAATTTGAATGGGACAAGGACAAGTGTGGAGAAATGAGCTTCTCCGATGCTTCTGTAAGAAATAACCAGATGTCATTCTTCGGAATGCAATTTGGAGGACCATGTCAAATAGCTCCAAATCACGCAGGCACAGCGATCTATAAATCACCCTTATGCAAATGTATCTTAAAATAAATAAATAAGAGTGCAAAAGTATATTCTTCTACAGCCAAAGATATTTATCAAAGTACTATGTATAATAGCAAAAACTGAGAACAACTTACATTTCAAATAAAAACAATTTTGACAAATAAATGGTGGTACATCTCCACAACAGGCTGCTAGCCAGTCATTAAAAATGAGGCTGCTGTACTTCGCGGTTCCCAAAGTTGTTCATGATTTAGTACAAGCGACAAAAAGCAAGTTGCCAGCAAGATGGATGAGCATCTCCGTGGTGGTATTTATTGGAGCAGGAGAGAAGCATTCCCGAAGACTGCACATCACATCGCTAACAGCACTGACACCCGGGGCTTCAGTTTGGGAGATTTTTCACTTTCTTCTTCGTAGTGTATATTTTTTCTTTTCAGATTTGCATATTTATTAAATACGTATAAAATATGTACACATGGGAAAACTGACCAATAAATATACTAAAATATTGTCATTGTCTCAGGTGCTGAAAATATGGTCTAATTTTTTTATTCTTATCTCCATACTGCAAGTGTAGAGAAGTCTTTTATGACAATCATTACCAATTGAGAAATAAACTTATAAAGGATGCGGGTTCCTAGGTTGTGGTGCCAACTCTGCAGACAGTGTGAGCACAGCGTGGCTTCCCTCCCGCGCTCCTGGTCTCGCCGCTGAGGTGACTGCACCAGCGGGGACCGCTCCAGCCCCGCTGCCAGCCCACGCCGATGCTCTTTCCAGCCACCAGCTCAGTCACAGGGAATATCTACTGTTGAAAACGTGGTAAAACATCCATTTGGAAACAGATTTTTAAGAAGAAAATAAAACAAGTAATAGTCATTTGTTCCACTTAACAGGAACAACCATCTGAAAACGGAAAGTGTCCGTGGCGTTAATGGTGGCATCTAGACGCAAATGTTACCTGGGAGCCTGGCAGGAGGGCGACGAGGGCGAGGCTGCTGCAGGCGCCAAACGCCCGGGTGTCTTCAGCGCTGGCCGTGCAGGAGGCCAGCCCTCCGAGCCACGTGCAAGGCCTCCGGGTCCACTTGTGCCCAGAGGAACCCTGGCTGTTCACCCGGTGGAGTTCCGTGTGGGGCTGCGGAGACCATCCGGGGCCAGGCGCTGTGCTGGTGCCGGGGGTTTGGAAGGAAAGAAGGACAGACTGTTCTCACGGGGTCTCACCCACCCGCAAAGGAAAGCCAAGCAGAACACTAATCCTGCGTCATGGAGGGCGGCACTGGCGCGGTGGACAGGAGCCGCTCCCAGAGTTCAGCCTGGCCTTCTAGGCGCGCACAGGTGAGCGAGCGTTAGCCCGAGGCCTGAGGAAAGGTAACGCCCTAGCAAAGCGGGTGGGTGTGGGCACAGGGCCGAGGAGCCTATGGTGTGCGGTGTGCGTCCGCATACCTGGGGGTGCAGGCGGGCAGGATGAGGGGTGCAGAGGCCAGGAGGAGCTTTACACGAGGCCGCTCTGTGCCCAGATTTAATTCCAAACTCAGGAACCAAGAAAACAAGGACCAAGAGGGTACACCCAAGGACCTGACCTTGATCCCTCCCCATGCACCACACACCCATGCTGACCTGGCCTGCTAGGAGCAAGGTGGTCTTTCTCTAAGCCACATCTGAAGTCAGAGACAGCAGCAAAACCCGTGGGCGGGGTGGGAGGAGGATGGCGCCCAGGGCTGCCCCCCTGACTCACCTTGGCCTTCCAAATGCCTCTGAGCAGAGAAATGCAAGAGCAGAAAATCTGGTCTTGGTGTTTCCAGTTTCCCACAATTGTTCTAATTTGTAAGATTCTAATGCAATGGTTCTCAACCTGGGCTGCACATTAGAATCACCTGGGAATCTTTTTAAAATCCTGATTTCTGGCCTCATCCTCCGGAAATTCCGTTTCTTTGTTACTAATGGTGTGGCCCCACCCCATAACAAAGAAACAGAATTTCCGGAGAATGAGGCCCAGAAATGAGGATTTTAAGTAGATTCCCAGGTGATTCTAATGTGCAGCCAAGGTTGAGAACCACTGTTCTAATGTGTCCAAGTTTCCACTTCCATTACATTAAATCTGCAAAAAATAATTCTCTGGTAATTTTCCAGTGGAGAAAAGACAATCCAAACGAATGTTCCCCTGCACCGTTCCCTGGCCCTCACAGGCCAGGCCGGGACTGGCCGCCTGGGTGCTGGGCATGGCTGCCATCACGAACAGAGGGCAGGGCCGGCTTCAACAGCGTACACGTTGAGTGGAGCCTGAACGGAAAACCCCTCCGGGTGTCCAGGAGTCTGTGAAGGAGACTTGAGAGAAGGGAAGGGTCCCAGAGAGCAGTGATGGGAGGAGCATCGCAAAGCCTATGGCAGCAAGACGACCCAGCTGCCTTTCCTTGATCACAAGTCAATGCTGGATTCTCTTTTCTTCTTTCTTTTTTCCAGGAGATGTGAGTTTTATTTTGTCTTGTCTGGCTAGAGGTTTGGCTTGCTCTCGAATGTTCCAGGGTAGAGAGAGACTCAGAGAAAGGGAGTTGGAGCCTTTTTGCCAACTTTCCTCTCTGACTCTCGCCAGTGGTCTGTCCCTCCGTGTCCTGGGCCACGGCTGGAGTTCCCACGGTGGCCCTTTGGGACACACCCACCCACTTTATTTTCATCTGCTCTCCTTGCAGGTCCTTCCTCTCCCGAGGCCGCTGTTCTGGTTGTGGCTCATCCAGCTGAGGCTGCAGTTTCTCCTGCCCCACTGTAGCCGCCCCTCTACATCCCGTTCCCTAGCAGCTGTGCCAACAGGCCTTGCCAAAGACGAAGGCTGCTCCGCTGGCTGGGAGGTGCTAGCAGAGCAGGCGTCTTCCTCAGGAGCGCTCCGAGGCTTTGGATTCAGCTTGGGTCTCAGGGGGCCTCTGTCATCACCCCTATCAGCTCCATGACCGATCATCACATCCCTCACATCTGCCCTCAGAGCGGGCCCGCCTCCTCTGCCGTCAGCATCCCTCCGGCACCCACTACCATGTCTCTTCTGCCACTGCCCGGTCCTGGAGGCACAGCCTCTCATAGGCTCTGCTGCCTCTGTCATCATAGCAACCCGGCCACC